CACACACACACACACACACACACACACAACCCTCTGTTCCCCCCCTCCATCTCCAGACACAACCTTGTCCTCTACATTTCTCTCACTTGCTTCCTCCTCTCACACTCTCTGCTCTCTCACCTGTCGAGACAGTCTGGCCACGAAGCAGCCGTTGGTGAACTGAGACGGTTCGAGTCTGAAGAACTTGTCTGTTGCGTCTCCTGACTCTGAGTCCACTGGGAAAACTGGACCGTTCACCCTGAGGAAGGAGCAGAACAGCAGGTGCGAGTGGAGCGTTGTTAAAAAGATGCTAACATCGAACATTAATTCATCATGGCTGTCGTAGTGCTCCACATGAGAACTGACAGGTTCAGGATATTACATTTTCATCCAGCTCCACCTTAAGGTTGATGCTTTTCCTCCAGGATGAACTGTAACAAGTTTTTCAACATCTGGTGCCATCATCAGGTCAAATGTTCCACACTAATGACTAATTACATGAAGCCATTTAGTATCAATAATCATTCAAACATGCTAAACTAAGATTGTGAACATAAACCGATGACTGTGAATAAAGATTGAGGATGCAGCTCCACTTCCTCCCAGTGAACATAAATGGAGCCAAGATATCCTGCATCCGAACGCTGACATGTTGCGGTTTCTGACGTCATTTGGAGTTTGTGCAGTGAAGTGTGGCCACGTTACCGAGCTCCCACCAATACATGGACTCAACCAATCATGAGTCTCAGCTGTCAATCATAACGTTTCACCCTGTTTTTATAGATAAGAACAAAAAACATCTTTGAGAAAAGATGTGTAATCTCTTCAGTTTTAAATTGAATGACATGATAATGTTTCAGTTGAGACATAATTGTGACTAACAGCACTTTTTTATACACAAGGAAAGCTGTTTGGTGCTGATACGTTTTGCTGTTGAGTTCAGTCACGTCCTCGCTGGACGTTCCACACTCTTCATCATGTCTTGCACCTTCTTTTACTTAGCATGTGTTATATTATTATGCTTTATTCCTTTGGCGCAGACTCTTGGCAGCTCTCGTGATAACCACACAGACAGCATGCTGTTGGATCTGTGTTTTCTTTGAACAGGTAGTGTAACGCCCAGGTGAAACAGCCGCCGCTCTCCTCGCTGCACATCAGTGGGTTGATAAAAGAGCGAGTGTGACCAAAAGTAATGACGTTCGGATTTCTTCAAAAGGACGGATTGTGGAGAAGCAGGTGTGAAACAGACTCCGAAATGTTCTCCACCCCATTTACCCCAACTGTAGGATTAACTACTGTCCCCATGGCAACGGCAGCTGATCCTTTACACCTTCATACCACACACACACACACACACACACACACACACACACACACACACACACACACAAGGACATAGATTCATACTCACACTTACTGTAAACACAGACAATACATGCCTGACACTATAGGGGCTCCATTATACTGTAAATTACACATGACACTATTTATTAATTGTGCTCTGCAGGTACTTGCAGATGTTGCATCAGCAGCTCCTCAGCTGAGCTATTTGTTTATGACGTTTACAGGTTTAGCTCGTGCACAGCGTGTGGTATCTAACACTCCACGTACATTTATGTGGTGTGAGGACTCAAAGCAATCCTGTTAACTCCTTTCTGCAAGAGGAGTTCTGTAAATTACAGTTTTTCCACAAGTTGAAGATTGAAGCGAGCATGATGAAGGAATTTACAATATCACCCCCCACAAGTTTATCAGCAATGTATGAGTTGTTACATTTGCTAAAAGCCAACAGATTATGAATTTTTATGAAAACCGTGTAAGTAGTTTTTAATAACATGACATCTTGTGTGATTAGATTCAACAGCTACTCAGCTTCTCAGTAAAAGTCCTTTTGAGTTCAGTGTGTGCAGCCACTCATGTGTCTCTGTGTCACAGTGACGTTAGTGACGTTAGTGAAGGAGGCTAAACACGTGTTTTATTTTACATGTATTTAATTCGGCTATTTTAGAAACCGCAAAGTTTTATGTTCTGCCTCAAGAGGAAACAATTCACACACACATTTCTCATCACTGTTGTTGTTTGAGCCTGTGGACAAGTCATGAAAAGTGTGACTGCATAATTAAATACTTAATGGACAGAAACCCAATACTGGCACGAAGAGAGAGCAGTGTGTGTGTGTGTGTGTGTGTGTGTGTGTGTGTGTGTGTGTGTGTGTGTTACCTGAAGGGCAGCAGTTTGTGGTGAGTGTGTGTTTTGTCTAACACTCTTTTCACCAGCTGTTCGTTCTCCTCAGGATACACTGAACGTGTGCAGTAAACCACCGTCTGAACCTTCGGAACTGACAGATGGAGAACAGGATAGAATGAAATGAATGAAAAAAAGAAATTCTGCTGGCATCTTATTATCAGGTTGTATCATGTTTGTATACAAGAGACAGATGTGTGTTAATGTGTGTGTGTGTGTGTGTGTGTGTGTGGTCCACTCACAGGTCAGAGCGTGCGCCAGTAGTCGTACCTGCTGGGCGGCCATCATGTGTATTTTTCGTTGGGCTACAGAACCGTGAGACAAGTCTGATAGCAGATCCCAGTCTGTCAGTAGAATAAAATTATTTAGCTTTTTTTTTAAAATCTTATATTGGACATTTAATGCAGAAACACTATCATATTATAAGAAATATTTTTTTTTAAATTGTTTATTTTCTGTTTGTTCATTTTTTTGACTCACTCTCTTATTCACTTTGTAGTATTCATTTTCCACCCCCGCTCTACGTCCTCTGTCCTATTTCTTTTACGGCCCATAGTTAGATGGCTGCATTTATATTCTACACTCCCAATAAAGTCCACAAGGGCAGATGGCTATGGGAGATTTAAAATGCCTAATATACAGTTATATACGGTCTCATTTGTTTTTAAAACTCTGGGCACCCCAGTAAGTCAGTTCCCTATAACGCCTCTTTGGCAGCTTGCAAATCCTTTCTGCAGCCAGTTAAGAGTCTGTTCTGGAGTGAGGATGTTTCTCCTGCTCCTCTGGGTCACATCACGTGTGTTTGAGTTCATGTGAATGTCAGAGTCTACTTTGGGTCATCATCCCATCAACTGCAGAGAATCACCGTGTGACTGCGACAAGAAATAAAACATAAAAAACGACCTTGATGTGGACTGTGTTTCATATGTTGGTTTGTTTTGATGTGGGCATTTTAGATCTTCCATACATGACTGTCTGAGGCCTCTCATGTGGACTCCTGAGTATTTTTAAATATACAGACTTGAGGTTATTACTCAAAAATAATATTAGTTTAGTGTAAAAACATTATTTCTCAGTTCAATAAAGAAAGAATGATAAAGCAGGTAAGTGATATTGTCTGTGGGGATTCAGTGCTTGTAGTACATACTTCCATATTCGCTGTGTATTGTGGGTACGGGGTCGTTGAGGGCCGAGGACGAACACTGAGGTAGAACGATGATGACCTTCAGACGCTGGACGGTGTTGTCCCACTCGTTCAAACCACAGAATGCTTCTGACAGGATCCGCACATCTACAGGGAGGTGGTTTTGGGAGATCAATAGATTTTTATTTTACCTTTTTTTTAATCTTAAATAATTTCCTGTCTCATCATCACTCACTCTTGATGTCCATGTCTCTGAGCAGTCCCTGAATCTCCTCCACCTGAGAGGACGTGTGATTGGCACCACACACCAACACTTGGCCTGAGCGGGCACTGGCCACCACAGCTATGTGAGCCACGGTCACAGCTGAGAAAGACCCCACCACCAGGACGTCACCGTTATCAAACAGCAGGGGGCGTAACACGCTCACTGCCACACACACACTCCTGTCCTGCAGAGAGACACACACACATGCAGAGATGCTCACATGTTGCATAACACAAGTGCAGCCTCTGGCTCTACAGACAGCTGTGGTGCTGAGCGAGCAAATTCTGAGGCAGTCTTTCTTTTTAAACACAACTTTAAACTTCACATGGCAGAAAAGTTATACTGGAAATAACAGCAAAACATTTATTTTGATCACAGTGGTTAAATCCTAAAATTAAAATTAGACCGTTAGCTAGCAAATGAAATAATTGACTACATGTCTTATTAATTGTCTTTTGACTCTTTAAAGACAATAATTCGTCAACGTATCTTACAGATGTAGTGGACTCCAGTAAAGTGGACGCAGAGACAACAGATCTTCTTGATGTTTCATTACAAAAAGGTAAAATGAGTATTCTTATGAGTTTTCATGTTTTTTCCTCAACTGAAAGCTACTCATTCAGATCATATTCAGGGATGGTGATCTCCTTAAAACTCATTTTAACCTTAACTCTACATCAGATCATGATGATGTAATTCAAATGCGCACACTGAATGTAGTAAATCATTCTCCCTTGAAGACTCAGATTACGGATATTTCGGCTTCTTGTTTGGATCGTGGGAGGAATTGGAAACTCACTGTTAATTTTTATATACAGCGTAAGGTGTTTATAAACATAAGTTTTTATTTAACTGTCCATTTGTCCAGGACTCAGTGGCAGGAGAGATACTGTATCTGAAAGGGACCTAGTTAAACACAGGATGAATAAAATAACTAGTAACTAATGCATTTCTTTTCACTCAGAAAGTAGTGGCCTAACTTCTACTTCAGCAACATTCACCAGTCGGTCGCTAGCTGTCTTCAAACGTTACTTTCAAACGCATGCTGCTGACAGAGGGAAGCATGTTCCTCGTCTGGGAATTAGTTTTTAGTTTTTGAAGCTATTTTTAGCTCAGTGACACACTTGGCTCCTCACAGATTTACCTGTATGTTCAGTGCATGTGTGGCAGTGAGGCTGCTGTGCTGGAGCAGAGCCAGAAGCTGCCGGGAGAAGACGAGAGTGTCTGGACAGAGCGAGTCCCTGCAGAACGCCAAGTCCTTCAGGTCAGCCGTGTTCTCCCCTTCACATAAGCCAGCAACGAGCAACGCTTCACACACTTCTTCAACACTACGGAGCACAAGATGTTATATTTCACACAAACATGTCCAAATATGGATATATACAGCCAACTGTGTGATATAGATGCACCAGTAACCTATTTGGTTCAACAGCAAAAGACCCTGAAACCATGGAGACGGCCCAATGAACTTCATTCCATGTCAATCCCGGCACTGTAGTGGCACGTAGAAACCAGGAAGGCCAGGCAGAGATGCTCTTCCTCAGGCACCAGATTTTGCCACAAAAATAATCACATCTAACACTATTTTGCACAATATTTTCACTTCTGTGTCATTTCAACTCCTGGTTTTCAGGAACTAGACCAAAAGTGAATGCAAGGAGCATAAGACATTTGAGTGCTCGTACCTGGTCTTCAGCGTATTGACCCATGCGTACAGGGGCAGACATTTTGCTCGATGCTGTTTGGTCCTGACAGAATCAGAAAGAAAACAGGAGACGCTCTGCAGATTCAGTTTCACCCTGCACCGAGCCAGAGATGCTGCCAGCTTGGTCTTACGCCTGTGATAAAAGAAAATTATTCACATACAGCTGATGAAACATTTATAGAGCAGCAGTGTAACACTCGGCATCTACACACACACTTGTACAGACTCCTCTCCAGCTCCCTGACTTCCTGTAGAGGCTCTTCTTGTTCCTTTGTTGTTTGTTCACGTAACATAAACTTTCGGTCCTGGAAGTCGAACAGCATCACCATCACCAGGGGCAACAAGTCAGCGGACTGCAAAACATGGACGCTTACATTATCAACGTCATAACAACTGTAAGTCATTATTATAATCAATAAGGTTGTCATCAATATTTTATCATCTCCATCGATGTTACCATCATCCCATTCAAATCCAGCATTAACTGCATTGATTGATTGATTTGACCATTTGGGTTCGTCAGAGACAAATAAATACAATACTAACATATCATATTTCACCACTTATTCTTATATACACCTTCAGTGGATACAGAATGACATGATCTTTCATTCATCATGTTTTTTTTGGACATCTGATGAGTTTTCTGTTCATCGTGCTTGTTTGGTGACAATGAACTCCTCTCCTGCGTTTTTTGAATTTAGTTTTGGCTGAAACCTGCTGCTTGTACTGTCTGGAACCAGATCTGACGAGAGCTGAGGAGAGCTGTGAGACTGAACCACATCATCAAAACCAAAATAATGAGTTGAACCATGCTCAAAATGCTCAGTAGAGCTGAGGGTAACTGCAGAGGCAGGGGACAAATCTCAAGAAGTCGAGTGATTCATTGTTAACATTAAAATATCGATTAGAATCACCTCAAGGAAAAGAAAAGAGCAAATCTTTTCTCACACTATCCTCTCTTTGCTTTATGGCTTCTGTGTCCCTCCACCTGTGTGTGTGTGTGTGTGTGTGTGTGTGTGTGTGT